GTGTGTGTGTGTGTGTGTGTGTGTGTGTGTGTGTGTGTGTGTGTGTGTATGGTGTCTACACACTTGAGAGTGCACATCCATGTGTGTGGAGGCCAAAGGTTGACTTTATCCATAGATCTCCACATTATATGTTTTAAAAATTATATTTTCCCACCTCATTTTCTGAGATGGGGTCTCTGCTCCTAGAGCGCGTAATTCTGCTAGACTGGCTGGCTTCTGACCTTCAGGGACCTGCCTGTCTCTACTTCTTCTCACCAATGCTGGCTTTACAGATGTGGAGTACAGTGCCTAACTTCCATGTGTCGGCTTGAATGGCAGACACTACCTTTTGGGCCATCTCCCCAGACCCCAACATACATTTCTTAAAGCTTGAAATTCCTGAACTGCCCCCCACCCCCTCTTCATAGAACCTGGGAAGGGGACATGTTCTGTAAGAAGCAAATTGCTCTTATTTTTGTTTTTTGGTGATAATGTTTTGTTTTCTTTTTTTCCTCATTGTTTTAGGAAGTTTGGAGCCAAAGGCTCACGACTCACTGGAGCAGGATGGGGAGGCTGCACAGTGTCACTGGTGCCTGCTGACATGCTGTCCAGCTTCCTCGCAAACGTGCATGAAGCTTATTACGAGAGGAACACTTCCAGCCTGGCTCGGGAGAAGCACAGCTTGTTTGCTACCAAGCCTGGAGGGGGGGCTTTGGTTTTCCTTGAGGCCTAAACAATGTACAACATCTCAGAGAAAGCATTTTGGGCATTTAGGAGCTAGCAGGACTTCCTGTGCCACAATAAATCAGTCCATTTTCTGTTTTGTGTTATGAGGTACAGTTGCTATTATCAAGAAGCATTTCCAAAGAAATGGTGAAAGCTAGGCTTCGTAATAACTACTCTCCCCTCTTAACTATATTTTTTTATGAATCAGAGCCAAGAATATGCTTAGATAGATCTTTGAAGTATGACTAAGATTTATTGATTTGAAGATTTTAAAGATGAATGGCAAAACTTACTCTTAATTTAACACTACGCTGCAATTAAATTGCTACAGCTGAACTGTGTGTGTTGTTTATTTAATACTACGCTGCAATTAAATTGCTACAGCTGAACTGTATGTGTTGTTTTTGAACGGCGGTCACTGCTGGCTTTCTTCCAGCTTTCCTTCCTCAGCCACGTGGTTGAAGTCTTCTGGCTGGTCAGTGGCTGAGGTCGACGACGATGAGATTGATAATAACTGTGGCAAGTCTATGGCTGATAATTTTGTTGACCCTTTATATTTCTCGAATTTATCCTCAACACGCTGTGAACAGAGTACATGGTTAAGGATTTGCAGATATTCTTAGACATACCCAGGATATTTGGATGCGAGCTTCCTATATCTCTGAAGACAGTGACCATTACTTTGTGGGGAGGGGCCAAAAGACGGATTCAGAAGAAAATTGAATTGCCTTTCTTCTCACTCGCACTACCATTTCTCAAATGCCTTTTCAATCCAAGAGGCATGCCTATCCTCCTGGCAACTCCGCCATTCCTCAGCTTCCCCCTGGGGGCGCCTGGCAAGGCTTGCTTGTTTGCCTGCCCAGTGCAGATCTGCAAGTGTGGCTGAGTGTGCAAACAGTCTACATCATGCTCTGACATTGACAGTGGTGGGCTAAGGACTTAGCACACTTATCAAGAGTGGGCAGAGGCTCCTGTCATGAGGTGACATGCCAGAAGCCCTTTCTAACCTTCATTGAGGGTTTTGCTGAAATATTCAGGTGACAGAGACAGCAGTTGTACTGTGGTTGGAATTATCCAGAATATTACCACAGTTTTGTTTCATATGCTTGGCCAATTAACCAGCTTTCAGAGACTAGGCGTCATCATCTCTGCCAGTTTCCAAAAGACACACTGGGATTCTGGGATTTCTTTCTTCTCTCTCTCTCTTTTTTTTTTTTTTTTTTGTTTTTTGAGACAGGGTTTCTCTGTGTAGCCCTAGCTGTCCTTGACTCACTTGTAGACCAGACTGGCCTGGAACTCACAGAGATCCGCCTGCTTCTGCCTCCCTCAGTGCTGGGATTACAGGCGTGTGCCACCTTGCCCGGCTGACTATAGTATTTCTTAAAGGACAAGTCACTAGGAAACCAAGATCCATCCTAAAACCAGTTCCTGACTCATTTCCATCTAAATACCTTTCTTATTGAAAGAATTTTGAGTTTTCTTAAGTACAGTAATCTAAAATCTGTATTTATTTAAGCTTATAACCCTGCATTTTTTAATGGCCTGTATTCCCCACAAGTAATTTGTGGTTGGTTTAGAATTCTTTAAACAAACATACAAACAGAAAAACATATCTGAATCATGTGCCGCTGCTCTGTTAGTCCATTTAATGGTTTTCACCACGAAATCTCTTCATAAGAAGATGAGGAAAATGTTCCGTAATTCTAAATATTCAGAGTGCACACCTCCATGGGGACACAGTCTAAGTGTTTTGTGTTTGGTGAAGTATAAAGTCAACTGGAACTATTTTACTCATTTGGCTTCAAGACTTTCAAACCTACCTTCAGTACCTGGTGTTCTAGAAGTTGTGAGGCATATCCAGCTCTTAAAAAAAAAAAAATAGGGATGGGGCCCGGGGCATGAACTTCATAAAGAAATGGACTTTGGGTGTGACGTTAAGGGACAGGTAGCCTTTGAAAGCTAGTGAGTGGGCAGTGCAGACCAGCATAGCTGGCAGACTCTGGGTGTGTGGGGGGGCTGTGGAGGAATGTGGGGCTTTCTTTAAAATGAATCAAAGGATTGTGTCAGCTGCTCTGGCTGGACCAGGCAGCATTCAGACCGGGGAAACAGGCCACATCTGGTCTGCAAATGTATTTAGTTTGGCTCATTAGCATTTGAAAATGTGGGTCTGGGTCTGGAGATTCTGTACAAGAACCTGGATTACTGATGGAAGGCTGGTGGAAGGCTGGTGGAAGGCTGGCTCCTGCAGGTGACAGATGGAGGAGGTTGAGGCGGCAGCTGCAGGGTCAAAGGGTGAGGCACACCCTTCTGCCCTTACCTGCACACATGCACTGCTATTCTCACATGTGACAAGTGTTCATGGAACTATTCGATAGTAGAAAATATATCAAGAAAAATAGGAATAAAGAGCAACGCTTAGAAAAAAAAAAAGATGATGCTCTTGTGTCTAATAGAAACACTCAAGTGTTTCATGGCGTTGTAGCACCTCTGTGCACAGGAATCTTCCTCATCCCACTTTTGGCATTAAACCTGCAGCCAGTGGCTCACTCTGGAGTCTGGCCTAGGGGTCCTGCTGGACCTCTCCAACCCTGTCTCAGGTGGTGTGGCCTACTAGTTCCCTGCATGCCAGCATCTACATGTTTTTACTTTTGGAAAGCATGATCATTCAGACCTAACAGGAGCAGCAGAAAGGAAACAGCTAGGGAAACAGGAGCTCTGGCCATCCCTCTCTTCCCCTCACACCCCAGCTCTGGAATCTTGTCACAGTCTCCATTGGGTTTTGGTAATTTGAGGGTATTATAGAGCTCTGTTAAATTATTAATAAAAAATAAAATACAACTTCAAGCACCAATAACCTCCAATAGTTTCTAACCCAGCCGCACTTCATGGGGTCTTAGTTGCAGAAACTGTCTCGGGGACTGTTTTTGAAGCAGGGCATGAGGACAGTGGGCTTGGGGCTGTCACTGTTCTTTAGAATGAATGGTCTCCCCATTGCAGTGGACAGTCCATGAGAAGAACGTTTTGTTTCTGCCCCTGCAGCCTGGCTGTGGCCACGCACTGCTCATGAAACACTGTGAGACCTGGAGGTGAGAAGCCGGGGAGGGAACTCTCAATTATTTCTAGGAAGAAAACATACCATTTTATGTAGAAAATTCTCAAAATCATTTTTGACTTCTTGGATGTTTCTAGAAGACTTGGCTTGGAGCCTAATGGAATAAAAGTACATTTCAGTAAGCAGATTGGTCACATGTATCACCAAGGATTTGCAAAGACTGCACATCCCTCTGCTCCTGTAAGCCCAATTACATGCACTAATGCAGCTGCCTCACTACAGCTGTGGCACTCAGAGATAACTTACTCTCTTCTTACGATGCGGAAACAGGCTCGGGGAGGCAAAGTTGCTGTCACTACTTTATACACAGGAGGCTAGAAAGCAGCCGTCTTTAATCCAAGCATAACCTTGAAGCTTTCATCCCTGCCCCCTGTGGCTCTCACCCCAGCAGAAGAGTGTCCCCTTCAGGTAGACATGCCACATAGTTACCCTAACTGGCTCCACTTACCAGCTCTTGTGGAGGCTGTGCACAGTGGCATAGGGGAAGAAGAGAAAGATGGCTAAGGCTCATTTGTGCAATGTTATGTACTAGGCTAAACTTGAGGAAGGATCTCAGAGATCTTCCAGGGTTTTGGTCTGCAGCTACTCAATGAAAACATACTACAGAGTTGATGCAGCAGCAGGAGCTTAGGATGGGAGAGAGGCAGAAGCAGGACGGGCAGGAAGTTGAGACAGGGAAGAAACACTATTGAGAGAAACATGATTAAAGTGGAAGGTATAGGAGGCTTTTCACTTCCACAGAACTTTCAAGTGAAACCCACAAACCCTTTCTCCATAAATCTGGTAGGAAGGACAGAGAGTTAACCCTGGAAAGGCCCATGCTGGGAGCCTCCAGCATTCAGTCTAGGAGACCTGACCACACAGCCGGGATGCCTCGTGAGCGTCTGTGAGCGACATGAACAGCTGTTCTCTGTCTTCACCTCTGCTGTCTGGGTGTTTTTTGCACTTGTCACTTTTGGGGTTTGATCTTCGTGGGTTTTGGTTTATAATCCTCCCTAAGCAGTCCCTGATTCCCTGCTGCCCTTTCTCTTTTGTTCCCCTTGAGTTGTATATTAATCTTAGATTGGTTGTATTTCAGTTTGTTAAAATCTGCCCATCTATGCCCCCTGGTCTTATTGGGATATGGGTGACATAGCCTAAAATCCACAATTTTAAGCATACAATTAAAGAGCTTTTGTATATTCACAAAGTTTTGTGATCACCCTCACTGTGCTTTCTGATTGAGTTTGCTCTCCCAGAGTCTCATTTTGCATGTCTCCCTGTGAGGGTAAGACGGTGAGCTGGTGGTAGCTCTAACTGGTGCATGGCTTTTCTTTTTTTTTAATTTAATTTTTTATTTATTACAATTTATTCACTTTGTATCCCAGCTGTAGCCCCACCCTCATCCCCTCCCAATCTCACCCTCCCTACCTCATCTCCTCCTGTGCCCCTTCCCCAATCCACTGATAGGGGAGGTCCTCCTCCCCTTCCTTCTGACCGTAGTCTATTGGGTGTCATCAGGACTGGCTGCATTGTCTTCCTCTGTGGCATGGTAAGGCCGCCCCCACCCCCTCAGGAGGAGGTGATTAGAGAGCCAGTCCCTGAGTTCACGTCAAAGACAGTCTCTGTTCCCCTTACTAGGGAACCCACTTGGACAATGATCTGCCATGGGCTACATCTGAGCAGGGGTTCTAGTTTATCTCCACGAATGGTCCTTGGTTGGAATATCAGTCTCAGAAAAGACCCCTGTGCCCAGATTTTTTTGTTCTGTTGCTCTCCTTGTAGAACTCTTGCCCCCTCCAGGTCTTAGTCTCCCCCGCTTCTTTCATAAAATTGCCTGCGCTCTGCTCAAAGTTTGGCTATGAGTCTCAGCATGTGCTTTAATACACTATTGGGTAGAGTCTTTCATAGGCCCTCTGTACATTTACACAATGGAATACTACTCAGCAATTAAAAACAAGGAAATCATGAAATTTGCAGGCAAATGGTGGAAACTACAAAAGATCATCCTGAGAGAGGTATCCCAGAGGCAGAAAGACATACATGGTATATACTGACTTATAAGTGGCTAATAGACATATAATATAGGATAATCATGCTAAAAATCTACACACCTAAAGAAGCTAATCAAGAAGTGAGGACCCTGGGTAAGATGCTCAGTCTTCATTCAGAAAGAAACGGGACAGACATCGGAAGAAGGTAAAAACAAGGAACAAGACAGGTGCATGGCTTTTCTAGTCACAAGAATATTCCACCTTTCCTTTCTCCGTGTATGAAGTATGTTTCTTTGAGTGATTTGGATCTACCTTGAGAATCCCAGTTTTCTGAGCTTCCCAGTTGTGAGGAATCTGTTACTGTGGGCTCTGTTCCAAGTCATTGGAGTTTAAGGTCCTAATTTAGGGGTTGTGAAAGTGGAATGGTAGTTGTTAGGGATGGGGGGGTCAGAGGTAATATTCAATTTTATAGCGATGGGTTGGACTTACTCCAGTGACAGGGATTTCAGAGCATTTACAGGAGACTGGCCACGCCCTAGTTTCTCGAGGGGGCTGATGGGGCTGCATTGTCTGTTTGGAGAATGTCAGTCTACCTCAATTGTTTGTACTTTCTCATCTTCTGCTCCAATTTATAAAAACAAATTAAATTAGCCAAATTATCCCTGCTTCGCCGGGGAAACACGTGTGCATGTGTAGAGGAAGCAGTAGGGAAGAAGTGAGGCCGGCTGAGTTGTTTTCTAGTCCGTCTTTCCCAGGCAGGCTCTAGTTACAGACTAAGTCCTACCGTTGAAGTAAGAATAGATAATCACATTTAGTAATTAGTTTATTGGGAAGGTGATTTTTCTTTTTTAAAATAAAAGGAGTTAGTGTGTTGATCCAGATCAGTGGCTCTCAACTTGTGATTCGTCCCCCCCCCTTTCACAGCGGTCATCTAAGGCCATTGAAAGCATAGATGTTTACATTGGGATTCGTAACAGCAGTTACAGCTGTGAAGTAGCGATGGAAATGGTATTTTGGTTGGGGGTCCCCACAATGTGAGTATTAAAGGGTCGCAGTTAGGAAGGTTGCGAACCACGGTAGTAATGAACTGCCAAGTAGGGTAGAAAACTCTTTGTGCTTAATGACTATATCTTTGTACAACAAACCCACTGTGGTTTTCTGTGAGCTTTTTGTCAGTTAAAAGTGACTTAAGCTACAAGGTTGAGGAGACTGACCGGTCAAGCTCCCTGTCGATCTTCTCCTGTCGTTCCTTTAGAACCTTGACCTCTTCTCGGATGGTCTGCTTAGTTCTGCAAAATAGGAAGAAAACAACGAGCACTTAAGATAAAGCAGCCGATCCCTGTGTAAGGAAGAACACATCATTGAGCCCTTCGTTTCCCAGGGACTGACGAGTGCGCTATCCTTCCCCACAGTCCCTTCTAGAAATGTGTGCCAGCTGCCAGCGGTGCTGACACCTGGTGTGACTGAGACGTCACTTCCCTGTGTCTATCAGCGCTCACTAGCAAGGTATCCACCTTGTCCCCACCTTGCAGGGATGCTTGGTGTTGGAGGCGACAGGGTGTGTGTGTGTGTGTGTGTGTGTGTGTGTGTGTGTGTGTGTTGGGGACCCACAGGGAGAGGAACAAGACTGTGTCTTGCATGCTGGATAGGAGCACATTGGCTGCCCCTTCATCGCCCCATCCCTGAGCAGCGCTGCATTCCCAGAGCTGGGTCTGGTCCTTCCTTCCCACAAGGCAACAATCTTTAGACAGTTACCTTGACATCACGAGGTGGATCATGCCATATTTTTCTTGTAAAACTTCATGGGCATGCTTGAATAGCCTGTTCCTAACTCTCTAGCACATAAAAGTGTCATGACTGCCCATGAGCAATCACTTAGATCAAACACAAGCAGAAAATGTTCTCTGAGAAAACACTTTCCAAGCATTTGCTCTGTCTCGGTCTTTCCAGCCCCAGCTGCCACCCCACTTCCAGACTGTATCCATGGTGCACAAGCTTCCTGCTTTCCAAGTTTTTCTACAGCCTCTATTGCTTGGGGATCTGGTTTTCCTGCGTTGGGGTGTACCCCACAGCAAGGCTCTCCACTTACTCTAGTCCCTGATACCCGTCAGGCTCCACCGTTACTAGCAAGCACTTGACATGGGATGTATACCCCGTTAGACAACGACTCTCCCCATCAGTAGAGAGCAAGCTCAGGGAATTTCTCCTATTCCTTCTGGCTACTAAACATTTATAGCAAAGCCACAGTGATGCTCAGACTTACCTCCTAAGGTCCCTTTTGTTCATTGCAAAATTCTTTTTGGCCTCCTTGATGACATCATAGTATGTAGGAGCAGGGGCTGTGCTGGGCTTGCAGTTAAGGAGTGATTTCTAGTTAGGACTATTTGGGAAAGGCAGATGGGACCCTTCTCAGGGAAATTATGGAGGCCATCTGGCCTGCATTTCCTTTCCGGAGACCTCCAGTGTACATGTGAATGCCATGTTTGTTGTTATACAGAGAACTGAGAAAAAAAACAAAAACAAAAAAGCCACATACACCATTTTTCAGGTTGCTTTAAGTTTGTTTCCCTAAATACCATAATAGCTTTGTAAGTCGTGTGTGTGTGTGTGTGTGTGTGTGTGTGTGTGTGTGTGTGTGTGTGTTTTAAAAATAGAAATTTGAGCTGGGCGCGGTGGCATACACCTTTAGTCCCAGACAAATGGATCACTGGAAGCTTGAGGACAGCCTGGTTGGTTTCGAAAAACCAAAACCAAAACCAAAACAAAAACGAAAAACCCCAGAAATTTGTTATATTTTTAGTAAGCATTGAAATTCTTGAATATTCACTTTGCAATCTACTGAGAACTTCAAAGTCTCCTTTGAGGGGTTTAGGGGGTAGCTGTCCACCTGTGTAGATGCTCAGCTAATCTGGCTTCTGCCGCTGCACAGAGAAAAGATGGGAATCGGGCCACATGCTGTAAGGACCTGGATTGCATTCCCTCTGAGGCACAGCTGACCGTCTCTCCAGCTCTGCTCTTACCCCACAATGCACACACAACCCTTTCTGAAGCAGCACTTGGGAAGGAAACAAGTGATTCAAAGAGGCAGCCCCTCGGCACATATTAAAATGAGACATCATTATTTATAAAGTAAACAGTGCGGGTAAGGTGCAGAGAAAAGGGGGACCTTGTACACAGTTTTCAGGAGCAGAGGCTGATGCAGCCATTGTGGAAACTCAGTATGGAGGCTTCTGAAGAAAGTTAGAAAACAAAATTGCTGTGTGCAGACTGGAAACTGTGACTTAACGACGACGACACCTGTGCTCTCCTGGCCACTGTAGCGCTGTTCACAATGAGGAACAGAAATATCCTGGGGCTTTGACAGCAAACGAGAATTCCAGTGTAGATACATACAATGGGATATCTGCTGCCCCAAAAGAACCTTGTGGTTTGTCACAACAGGGGTAAGCCTAAAAGATACTAGTCTAAGAGAAGTCTCTGTATGCACTGTGGGACGAGCTTGGTGATGGGGTGGTGGTTTGAGGCCAGCCGTCCTAGCTGGTCCCAGGCCTTAAATCATTGCTCATCCAGTCAGTACCTTATTAGAAGGCTGGCAGTGCCCAGGAGAACATTCTGTTAGTTCATCAAGGTGGCCTGCTTCGGGATTACATGCCAGACACAACAGCAAGCCAGAGCAAGTCAAGCAACCTTGAAGATACCAAGTGTGAGGTAGAGGGAGGTTAAGGGAGCAGCAGAGTGGAATCAGGCTTGGAGTGTGGAATGAGGGAAGGAACATTTGCTGGGTTTCCCAGGATGAACGTGGAAGGTGTGAGTGAGCGCTCATGCCTGGTGGATTCCAGCAGGCATACTCCAGGGTCATCCTGTGCCCTCAGAACTTGTAGGCCCCGCCCCTACCCCATGGTTACAAGGGATCTGCAGCCTCTGGCTTTGAAGACTCGGGTTTCAGCCCACTCATCCAGTAGTAGACGTCTCGCATTTTTTTAAACACTATAGTTGGCGTCTTGCGTCTCTGGTGTTGCAATCCTCCCATGCACACAGGTCTATGGTAACTGCTGTAGACAGACAAGACTCGCTGCTTCTTGTCACTGAGATGCCACCAAGCTCAGGCTGGTCTGACTTAGGCGGCCCTCTCACGTCCCTCCCCAGGGAGTTGGCACTACAGGTATGCGCTGCCAGCTCTGCTGAGGGACTGTTTTGTAAGACCTTCCACCGAGGGCCGAGATGTTCTCATGCCCGGATATCGTGTCTTGGTGTTCATACTGGAGCTCACGCATTGGCCTTCTCAAGAGCCTAGCAACAGAGGCCTGCTGTTTCGGGTTGGTCGGGAACTGCCGGCAGGGACAGGTAGTTGTCTCACTTCCTACCTGGGCAAGAACCTTGCAATCCAAGATCCACCACACTTTCTCTCAGTCATGACGTGATCTGCCAGCCCAGAGCAGACGCCTGAAACCTACAGGTTGCTTCCACGGTCTGGGGAACTCGGCATGTTAACGCACAGAAGGTCTTCGCTTCTCGGGGGAAAAGCTGCAGAAGTCCTACCATTGTGGTAGGGGGATTGGAACAACTAACAACACACTTTTCCAGGTAGAGATGGATCTTCATTAAAATGCTCAGCTGGGGATGCAAGCATTTCCTGCTATTATTTAATTGATCTGCTAGAGTGCTTGTTATAAGTTCAAAGTTTTTTCCCCCTTTTGTAATGTTCTACTGTGTCTTGAGCATGGCTTCCACGGGTAAGCCTTTGTGACATGATTTGTTTGGCACGTTGAATGAATTGGGTTTTCCAGGAAAATACTATTGTTACTGAAATAAGAGTTATGTTTCAGCTCCTGTAAATGTTCAGGTTTGAACATACAGCTTTATTGAAATAAGCTGGGTATAAGTTCTTCATAAAGACATTCCGCTTCTTTACAAAGCTTGGTTCTTGTTGTCCATTTGTACAGTGTGGTTCGGGCTGCCTTATGCTGGTATTGACAAAGACCTCAGCGTCCTCTTGTATTACTTAACAGCAACAGTTTTCCATAGACTTTTGCTAATGCGAGTTAATGAGTGTCCTAATTTTTATTCTCTTCAGACACTTAAAGCCACGATTTTATCCCAGCTGAAGAAACATTTAAGAGTACTTAAAAGTTGTAAAGTATAAATAATGGCCATTTCTTCCCCTCCGGGAAAGCTGTGGCAACGTGCTTCTCAGTTCCTCAGTCTGAACTGGCCTCGCGCTCATTCCCCGTGCATGGCTCCGAGGATGCGTGGCAAGCCTCTACACGGAGAGGGAGCAATTTGGGGGTGAAGGAGATCGCTCTCTTCTGGATGTCACAACAGCTGTGATTGGGTTGTACCAAACCGAGACTGAGATATCCTACGGACCACAAACCGGAGCCTGGAGTCAGTACTCCCATGTAGCAAAACAGAGCAGATCATAATTGGTGGGTCCAACTATAAAGGAAGAAACTGATGAAGGCTGGGACGAAGTCCTGTGATTGACTCATTGCACAACATGGCAGGCAGCACAGACAACGGACCGTGGCGCTCATGGATGCGATGGAAAAGTAGGGACTGCCCCAGTAAAACATTCTCCTGAGGAAAAGCTTTTCTTTTCTCTCATCAAGCCATGGAAAAGAGTTGGCACATGCATTAGAAAGTAATACACAAGTAAGCGCGAATCAAGAGCAAAGGACACGTTAAAACCAATAAACCAACACCCTATGCTTCTAAAGTTTTCACTGATCCTAAGTGGTCCCCTCCTCCCTTTGTTCCGATGACTGTCCTCGGAAGACGGATCTTCTCTAAGTACGGTGTACTTCTACTGTAGTTCATGGACCCTAGGGAGAATCTGAGAATGGTGACAAATGCTCTCTTTAAAGAAACAAAAACCCACACAAATAGTGTGTGTAAGCGTGTGTGGTGTGATGTGTATATATGCGATACGTGTGATGTGTGCGCGTACATGGGTGTGTGTATGTGTGTGCTGTTGGGCTCTGGCTTTCTCTCTCCTCAGGGCCTTGAGGGACTGAACTCAGGCCATTGGCCTCTTCTGCACGGATCCTCTGGCTGCCCCAGGCACTTCCCCTTGAGAATTACTTTCTTGATTCGATAATATAGAATTCATAGTAACTGCTATCGCTGCGCACAGTGCTGTACACTCAGAACACTTGAGAGTTTATGAAACAGCCTTCTCTTTCATGCTTGGGAACAGCTTTCCAGGCACACACCTGTGTTCCAGGGCCTCTTCACCACATCTCACCCACACTTGGGTCAGGAGGGCTGGGTAAAGGGCCGCGGCATAAATAGCAGGGGATCTAAGAGTATCTATTCATTTCCTACCCAGAGGAGCTCTCTACCAATGTCCCCTCAGAGTGAGAGCCATTCCCAGGTGAGAACCTACACGCTACGATGCTCGCTGACGGTTTATCAATCCTTCCTCTGTTTTGACAGGCAACCCAAAGACAGATTTGATGGCACATGCCTCCCTGTCTGAAAGGCCACCCTCTGATTGGCTGAGTGAAAACTTAGACTTTAAGTACACAGACTTCCAGGGCAGTGTAGGGAGCAGTAGAAACAGCAGTGAACGAAGTCCGTAGTGTTGACATGGTCATGGCCACAGTGAGAAGGGAACTGCAGCGCCAGGCTTAGGGGGTGGCAAAGGTTCTCAGTGGCCTGTGTAGAGGGAGTGACCACTGTGTACAAAATCAGCAACTGCAGCTTCCTTTTCCCTCGTGTGTGTGTGTGTGTGTGTGTGTGTGTGTGTGTGTGTGTGTAGCTCTGACTGTCCTAGAACTCTCTGTAGACTGCTCAACTATAGAGACCTCCTACAGAGACTAGCCAGTCCCTCTACTCCATGCTGTGCCTAATAAATACACCAAGGACCCAGTGCCAGCAGTATTAGTGCCACTTTATCAGAGAACACCCCCTACCCAACCTGATGCCAGGGTTCCTGTTCACATGTCCTTGTGTCTGTCCTTTCATCAATCCCTCACCATCCCTCTCGAAGGTTCCAGGGCTGAAGCATTTGGGAGGCACCCTGCTGTGGCCTTTGCTTTCCTCTAGGTTGAAGGCGTTGAATCAGGTCGCAGCTCACACATCACTGCCTCACAACTGTGAAAGCCACAGCCCTGTGCTTAAGGAGCTCACGTCAGCGCCTGGCTCAAGAAGAAAGTCAGGCTACCTTGAGAGCGAGTGAGTTCAGGGAGCCGCTGTGCTGGTTAGAAGGACGGCTGAAGGCTGCGGGGGTAGCTGGTGGGAAAGGCTGCCTCAGCTTTGGGGGGTGCAGTTGAGGAGGGAAACCTCACAGCAAACAGAAAGAAAATGCGGCTTTAAAAGAAGAAAAACTACTCTGTGTGTCAGGCAGGTCTCTGTTTCAGCCAACCATCGTGGCTGGCAGCAAAGCAATGGTTCAAGGAAGATTCCGAGTGTGAGGACTGAGACCTGTAGGGGTGGCGGAGGTAACGAACAGATACACTCAACAGAAGGAGGAACACGTGTCCCCACCCCCGTGGGGGGGTGCACGACAAATGGAGGAGGAGGAGAAAGAAGTGCCAAGTACCAAAAATGACACAAGGAACACAGACATTTCTAGAACAAATAAAACAGAATCATACTCTGCTGTCTGTGATGTGGCTGATAGTTTACCATTTTGGAGAAAGAAAAAATATGTAACAGGAAAGTGACATGAATTCAATTAAATTCATTTAGTTTTGAGCATTTTAGAGTCTCCCCTCTCCCTGGGTTCTAGACACACTTAGACTGTAAAGTTCAAAGACCAGTAACAGTAGGAATTTGAGTTCCTGGCTAGCCTGAGCTACAGGAGACCCTCAACTAAACTAAAAAAGAAAAGAAAAAAAGAGAGAAGAAGTTAGCTGAGATCGAGAGCTTTGCATGTAGAGGATTTATTACAGCCCTGACCTCTAAGGAGTTAAAAAGCTCTCACTTTTCCACTTGAGGGTTTTGTTTGCTTGTTTGTCTGCTCACCCAGGGCCTTATGCATGCTGAGCAAGCAGGTGGCTGATGGGATTGAGCAATAGTGTTTAAGCCTTTTCCCAACAGAGAAAAGCTAGGGAAGCATTCAAAAAGTGTTCCTCACTTAATGTAAACTGGAATGTGTTACCCTTATTTCTTCCTCCCTCCCTCCTTCCTTCCTTTCTTCTTCCCCCTACCTCCATCTTCCCTCCCTCCTTTCTTTTTTTCTCTCTTTCCTCTCTGTATCGCGCTGGCTTACCTGGAGCCTGCATGGACACCCTGCCTCTGCCTTCCCATGCTAAGATCACAGGCGCATGCCACCACGGCTGCTCATTTCATTACATTTCTTGAATTAAAAACACACACCTAAGCTATTACTAAGTTTCCAGGATGAGAATTTCTACTGCCACTCTTATTTTCTCCATTGAGACACTGAAGGACATTTGTAACTGTTAGGTCTCAGGCCCTTCGTATGGCCAAAAATGAGCTCAAGCTTAACTATAGGCTTTCTGGTAGTTAGAGAAAAACCGGCACACCTCAGGAACTTGTCAAATGGGTTTTCCACCTCCTGAAAGGAGTCCATCCCCCAGGTACCCATCCTCTTTATAATCCCCATGATTTGTCCAGGGGCGCTCTCATGCCTCTTTTTATTCTCTACTCTCTTGCACTTTCCCATCTTTCTTGCTCTGTGCTATCTCTTGTTATCACCACTATTCTCTCCCTCTCTCCCCTTCCCTGTCCTTGCCACTTCCAGTCTGTTTACTTCTCTCTCTGCTCTGGACCCTTCCGAGTGCTCCTGGATGTTTTCTCTCTCTTGTCCACAGTAAAAACCTTGCCCCTAGTGAAGTGGGTCATGTTGGCAACTTCTTTCTTGCGCCCCTCCCCCTCGCATACAGTAACATGTTTATTATTCCAAAATCCAAAATGTGGCCAAGGAGTCAGTAATGACCCACTCTGATCACCCAAAGCAACAGAACCCGTCTATTTTACCGTTAGAGTAACAAGTTGGTGAATTGTGGTTGTTTTGTATATTTTTTTTAAAACAGAAAAGAAAAAAAAAATCAGAACTTAAACTGAGTTTGTAACAAGAAAGGAGCACATACAACTAGCAGTTTTCTAATTACTTCTGGCTCGAGGTAGCTGCAAAATGCCTGCCATCCACATGCCTGCACTCGGCCTCACCAAACAAAACCCCTTTGTCTGTACATTCTTCAAAAACAGTCTTCACTCCAAAAGTCCTCACCCCCCCCCCCACTTTTAACTGGCAGTTTTCTAAAAGAAATTTTGCCACCCCCGCAGGAAGTGAAGAATAGCTTCAAATAAAAGTCATCTAAAAATAAGAGTGAAGTGTGCTCTTACCAAGAGCGAGATTTACATTCTTCATGTGTCCTTTATCTGACGACGCTTTCATGACCCATTCTTCTTCTGCTGTATCCAAGAGGCAGAGCTGTGTCCAGTGTGCCGCCATGGTCCTCGGATGTCACCAGAGTGACACAGACAAGGCATTTTCCTTAGAACCTCTGCTTCTTGCTCTTTCTTTGCTTCACTCTCTCCCCTTCTCTTGGTCTCACCCTCCTGGTGACATTTTCTCAGGTCATCTTGAGACTGGATCATGTAGACAAAGATTCTTGCACAAAATGATGGAGAAGCAAATGACTTGACTGAAGTGCTAATTCCATGGAACAAGGCAACCTGGACACCCCCTTTCCCTCTTCTCTCTGACTAAGATCAACGTCCCTTGTACGTCATCCATGTGTTAAATATGGTCCTGATGCTTTAGGACACGGGGGAAAAGCAGCCACTTTTCGGTGGACTCTGTTATTTCTGTGTGCAGGAAACCTGCTTCACGGAATCTGACCGTGCCATTTTTTTGTTAAAGATTTATTTTATGAATGCTCTATCTGCATGTACACCTGCATGCCAGAAGAGAGCATCAGATCCCAGTATAGAGAGTTGTGAGCCACCATGTGGTTCCTGGTAATTGAACTCAGGACCTCTGGAAAAGCAGACAGTGCTCTTAACCACTGAGCCACCTCTCCATCCCATGCCATCATCCTTACAGGCCAGTGAGACTGAAAGTGCTAAAAGAGGCTTGTGAGGATGGTTACAAAATGGCTGCCTCTGAAGTGGGCCTGACAAGCTTGTGGACCTGGCAAAAATTAAAGAATAGGCTCTCTGAAGGCGCTTGTGGCTGTATCCTTAGCACATAGCATATTACCCTGAATGTAAGAGGTTTTCTGCCAATATTTATTAAGTCCTCTGCAAGATACAGCTTGAACCCTAGACTTGGGTAATGAACGCATACTCAGGTAAGAAAGCAGACTCAAACCCTTAGAAAGAAGGAGCAGAAATATCTAGAAAATAATTAGACAAGTTCAGAATCCAGGGTGAGGAATGGGACAGGAGAAGATGGTTCAAGAAAGGGTCAGGGTGAGGATAAACGGTAGAGACTACAGTCAGATTCTTCTCATCCCACCGCATGAGACTGGTCTCTCCATGTGCAAAACATCCCTCTGAAAGTCTGTTGCCAAGGGAACAACCAGATGGTTCAGGGGATGAAAGAACTTGCCGCACAAGCTTGATGACCTGGGTTTGGGTTCTGGAACTTGCAGCTCCAACAGCGGCTTCTGAAAGTGGTCTTCTGGCCCCTACACGCTCTGGTGTTAGAACCTACTTCTTTGGGATTCTAACATAGACTGAGGCCCAGCAGCTCTCTGGGAATCCTCAGCAACTCCAGCAGCAGACTGGGGCTGCTCAGAATCTAGCAGTGAAGAATCCAGAATCCAGTCTTGTGAAGCAAACAACTATCCTGTTCTTGACCTTTTCACTGAGAGGTAGCCATTGTTGGGCTACCGGTACACAGCCTAAGAGCCACTGTAATAAACCCCTTTAGTATGTCAATTCTTTCTTAATATAGTCATTCATTATCAACTCATTGTTTTTATTAATAATTAATAATTTATTCATAATTAATTCTATCAATTCTGTTCCTTTAGAAGACCCACACTAATAGAGTAACCGGCTACTTTCTGGTTAGGTGTTATCTTTAACTTTTTGTCTCATAACAGAATGGATGTGGTTATCCCTGACTTCATCCCTTAGGATGCCTGAGAAGAGCTGATACAAGGAACAAGTGACACATGCCACTTTTTTTGAAAACTTACATTTACACATTTAGAATATATATTATTTGTATTGCATTCTAAATATTATCACCAACCCATGATTTCTTTTAAAGAGTATTTCTAAGCTGCTGATCCATTAATTAGTGTTAATTTACTTCAAGTAGGTGATACAATTTATAAATTTCCTTATTACCTGAAAAAAAAAGAAACAATAATAGTTACAAACAATAGTTTGAGCAAAACAACATGAGCACAACAATGTACCATTCCCCATCCACAGGCGAGTGCAGATGGAGACCAGGGCAGTCAGGGTGCTGAAACCTTTTAATTCTAAAGACAGGAATAGATATTGTAAAGAAAAATCTTAGCATCCTTTCCTATACTCAGAAGGAAGAGCTGGACTAGATTCAGTTAGAGTTCCTCTGTGTCTAGAGTTCCTCCTGAACCATTCTGCGTATTTTTCAAGACCATGAGACTCGCTTTGTGGAATCAGGAGCCAGTGGCCGGCAAGTATGACAAATGCTTGAACTAGCACCGACAACAAAGTGGCAAGACAGACTTTGCCTCAGGACAGGGCTGAGCAACACAACAACAGGTTGGAAGGCTTAGACCTCATGTTCTCTTTGTTTCGCTTACGTGGGAGATCATGGTCTTGGAACTTTTAAGAGGGAATAGTTCAGCAAACCATGCTGCAAAAACAAATGACACATAAAAGTGGCAGTAAAAATACATTTAAAAATTAGGACAGAAAGTCAAAGGTTTTCCATGTCTTAGAAACCAGTTGTCGGGAAGCAAAGCACGAGAAGGATATGGCTCCTGGAGTATCTTGGTGAACTTGCTCCCCTTTTTTTTGTGAGTGACGGATATGCCACCTATCTCATGCATCTTCAGGTAGTACAAGATCAGCGGGCTCTGACCTCCGAAGTTAAAGAGGACACGGTAGAACTCTGGGCCAAAGCTCATATAGTGGGACTGAAGGAGAAAGGAGAGCGCACAAGTCAGTAACGACTTTTCTGTTCTTAAAAACCTGCAAACACATGCACATTGTAAGATATGAAGAAAATTTCCATGGGCGTATCAAAGTGTATAAGAGAAAAGTCTATAAAGCAGCCTTTAAAAAACCCTTATTTTCCGTGTCTGTGTTTTGCCTGCACTCTGTATGCCCATCACACATGTGCAATGCCAGCAGAGGCCAGAAGACAACATGGGATCCCCTGGAACTGGAGTTACAGACAGTTGTGTGTTACCATGTGGATGCTGAAAGCAGAACCCAGCTTCCCTGCAAGAGCAGCCAGAGCTCTTAGCCACTGAGCATCTCTCCAGTTCCTTCTTAATGAAAAGGATTTATAGCCCCTCAGGCTATGAATATTCACATAAATATTCTCTCAGAATACTGTTTTCTAATTTTGTCCATCCGTCCATCTGTCTGTTCACTCATCCTTCCATCACCCATTATCTAGTATTAGTATATCAGTTATTATGAGATGATCAGTTTCATTATGAAAAATACATCATTGTATCTTGCTTGTATTCACCCCTTACCCTCATATCCTGGCCCTCTCCACATTGCACCCCAATAGTCCCTCTTCTGCTGTCCTATCACACAGACAAGTAGATCCCATAGGAAGGTGGAGTTTTTTCTTTCTTCCCTCTTTGCCAGGTCTTCTTGCTCTCCCCTATTTTCTTCTTTTAAACCCCTCCTTCCTCTCTTGCCCTCTTTCATTTTCATGTCCTCCATAGGCATATAAAAACGCATTTATGTTTACATCTAGATTCCACAGATAAAAGAAATTGGGCAACATTTCTCTTTCCAAGTCTGACTTATTTTACTTAACATTATGCTTTCCTTTCTAGCCTTTTGTTCAACAGCAAGACTGAGGGCCAGTCAGTAGATTTTATTCAGTCTGAAGAACAGGAAGAAAGGAGGATGAAAGGGAGTGAGAGAGAGAAAAAGGGAAACAGACAGACAGACAGACAGACAGAGAAACACCCTTCAAAGTTATGCCCCCAGTGACAAGACTTCCTCCAGATGGATCACACCACCACCCATTTTCCACGGCCTCCAACAGCACCCCTAGCTGGGGAACATGCCTCTCCCAAGGAGCCTTTTAGGGACATTCCAGATCCAAGCACAATAGGCCCGACAGGAGCCCTCCTCCATGGAGAACCAAACCGGTAGGCTCCGGGTCATGGGCTTTCAGAACTGTAATAAGCCGTTTAATCTATGACTCAACCTTTTTGAGTGGCAGCCAAAGATAAGCAAGGAGACAGAGCCAATGGCACAGAAAACTGTTTTACTTCTAACGTGTTTCTCTCGTGGGCTCCAGGAACTGTTGCTCAGCCTCTCACAAATCCCCCTGTCCCTAGTGCTTGTTGACAAGTGGATCTGTGGTTTCTATTACCTTTCTTCGGGTTTCAGCCTGGCAATCTTCAGGACTGTGGGAGACTGGAATGTTGCAAGGGGTGGGGTTGGAGTTGGGGGCTGTGGGGAGTGGGGATGGGGTTAATTGCATTGTCTCAGGCTAGCTTTAGCCCTCAGAATAGCAATACCTTGGGCATCTCCATGTCAGAATTAACGTATTGTGGCTAACAGATAAAAGTCCTTGATAATCTATTAATTTAGCAGGCCACTAGCACTCACCAACCCTAAAGCTGAGATTGCCATCAGATAGCATTTTGGGACCTCTGTAATCACTTTTTGATGTACTAACCAGTGCATTTTAAACTTGCCTTGATTTGTGACTTTCTTTGTTCTATGAAGCTGTAAAACTTCATGAAACTACTTCCACAATGAAACATGGCATTTTGGGGTAACTAAAATTGGTATTTTCAGGCCACAGTTACTCAAAGTGGCTTCAGAATAAACTATCTCTTATTTTCTCAAAACAAAACAAACCAGGGAGCACCTAAGCTGTGGTGCTCAAGAAAAGAGCATCTTCAGTGTAGGTTTCCCCAGGGCCACTCCTAAGACAGAGCAATCACTACCAACACCCCTTTGAGTTGGCAACCATAACAGCCACATGTGAGCACTAGAAGGTGTCTTTGTCCACTCAGAGAGAAGCCAGAGCAAAGAACTGTCATGAAGGAAAGATAAGTGCTATGCTTTTGTTAGTTTTAAAATTGCACTAGAGATTTGTTAGAGTACTGCTAGAAGAAAATAGAACATTTAAATTTAAGATTAATATCTCCAAATAAATCTCTGATCCTTAAATTATTTCTAAGATACAGGTTGAGAACGCGCTGACTAGAATTACTGTGTGAAGCAAACTGAACAAGGAAATTCTTATCACTGCTCCCAGGCCTACCTTTGTCGTTGCTTTTGATGTGGTTGACTCATCCTTGTGGACAGATGTCACATAAGATTTTGGGTTCTTTAAAATATTCTCCATGTTGAAGTCTATAGCTAAAACAAACAAAAAGACTTTGAATGATTTTCTTCCTCCGTCACACAAAGGCACCTTTGCTTTTTTTTTCCTCCAGCAGTGGCTGTAAGGATGCACAGAGAGGATGCATGTGTGAAAAGAGGGTGAGAGTGTTGCTATAGCTGCTGCAGCAGAAGAAATGAATATTCTACTCAGAATTCTATTAAACTGAGCTTTACAGTGTGTTCAATGCATTAATTTGTATTATGCCAGTCTCACGAAGTCAGTTTGCAAACTAAGGAACAGGGCTGAGAAAAGTTTTTTGAATTCATTTTTGATACCACACAATAGGAAGTACTAGACACTGGCTTGAAATTCCAGAGGCAGGTAAGCATTTAATAGGATCGTGTGGAGCAGATCCAAAGTAGCTTGGAATTAGACCGGGCAGCAGAAGAAAGAAATCATACACATTTTTAGAATTTGCTATTGTTTGGTTTATTTTTAACAGAAGTTATGTAGACCCAGCTAGGCTTTTCTGGCCTCGGCTTTATGTATGCTGAGACTACAATTTTGAGTGTTTCTTTAACAAAGGTCTGTGTGATGTTGGTTTCTGGTCTTCTCTGAAGGAGTGAGCACTGAGGACAAAGAAAGCTTGGCTTCGTGCCCACTGCCCTCCAACGGAAGGTTGCTCTGCAGAGTACCTGACTGTGGTCTGAGAACTACTGTTGTTGAAAGTAACATATTAACACCGTGAGAAGAACCTAAACTGAGGGTATTTGGCACTAGGTGCAAAACTAAGAGACAAATGAAGAAACGAGTAAAGAAATTGAAGAATAAAAATTGTGAAAGTTGTAAAATGCCTACAAAATTAAAGCTCTAGACATGACTGATTAATAATAGTGTTATTAATAAATGCCTGTCTTGCTCGTCTCTCCTCTCCTACTTTTCTGTAACCCATTGATTTATTTTAGGGGGAAAAGTTTTGATTATGGTATGCATGTATTTGCTATTTGCAGAATCTCTGAAAAACTTGTGGAGATTAATTGAAAAGTCACAAAGATTGCATTTGATGTAGTTGTTATTTGGTTGCTTTTTTTTTTTTTTAATTTCACCAATGGAAAAAATATGGCAGCCTTACTCTGTGTGCATGGGCAATTTTTCTTGTGTGTGATGATTCTCTATTTACCTTTGAAGTGCTATTGCCCTTAATGAGAACACATGTACACAAAGTATAGTTATTTCCAGACACATTTGCAGCTTCTTTTTTTTTTTTAATAGCTTTTCTGGAAAGCAAATGACTTATAAATCTTGGTGACACTAAAGCAAGGTCAAGCAGCTCATTTGTATTAATGCAGCAACCGAATAAACTATTGAAACAGAAAAGACAGTGGCTCATCACTCATACCTCTTCTTTAGACTAGATCTACTTTAAAGCAAAACTCTTGGAAAGAGACTTTTGATCAGGGCTATATCTGCCAGGAAAATAAAGGAAAGAAAACTCAGGTGGCCATTAAGCAAAATGTACGTGACACACAGAATAAAGAATAAAACACATGTGCAACTTCAGTCCAGCAACATAGAACATGTCGAGTATTTTGAAGAAACTGCATATTTGTGAGTATATTCTTATTATGTAGTTTAAGAATTATTTCTGCTTCACCCCAGATCCTAATGCATATGCCCTCCACACCCCTAGTCTCATTAGCTACTGACTTATGTAAGAGAGCTACATTTGTCTTCCTAACTATATCTTCCTGTTTCTCTTTGGACAAAGTTTATGGTTTAGATTGCCAAGCTGACGCATCACGGAGTTTACAATGCTGGAAAGCAAAATCAAACTCCTTCCTGCAGTGCTGTGTTATCATAGTGCACACACTCATGAGCAACTTTACAGAGAGACCACTGGGTTCAAGTGCTCATAAACGTCCTTGGTTAACTGTGAAGCGCTGGGCTAGTGTGGGGTATCATTAGCATCCTTGAGCTTTGCCAATTTCAACTAAATTTAGTAAATCCAAGGACATGAAGATATTTGGTCATAATAAAATTGTTATTTGTACCACATTTGGCTCCTAAGGGAAGTGTCGTTTTATCTTATTCTGGAATCCCAGAAGTTGCTTTCTAAGTATTTCTCTCTCTCTCTCTCTCTCTCTCTCTCTCTCTCTCTCTCTGTGTGTGTGTGTGTGTGTGTATTTTAAGAACAAAGCATTAAGTTCCTGAGAGAGAAGCTAAAGTGTTATGAAATGAGTCTCCATGGAGGCAATCATTTGAAATGCATTGTAAATATAGTAACCTCTTTTTTTATATTTATTTTATTTTGAGAATTGTGTACATGAATGCTATATTTGCACCATTTCTACCCTTCTGTCACCCCTCCGACTCTTCCCACATACCCCCTTTACATTCCTTCTCCAACTTGTGACTTCTTCAACTATTGTTACACATGTACATATGTACCTAGTTACATACGTATGTTTAAGTACAATCCGCTGAGTTTATTTAGAAGAGCTCAGCAATAGAATGATCGGAAACTTTGGAGACTTGGCTACCTAAGACAAGAGCCTAAAAAGAGGACCAGTTTGCTCCACAAACTGCCACTCTGTCTTCTCATAAAGAGCTAAGGACTCTGCAGGGAGAAAAGAAAACTAAAGAGAATCCTAGGAAACTCCATTGCCACAGACAACACCAATCCTAGCTACAGGAACGCTTTCTACTTGTCATAGCCTTGCAGCCCAAGTAGGGGAGCCACCTAGAAGCTGCACCATAGTTTTGCCTTGGAGAAAAAAATCCTGCAGATGGCTGCACTGGATGGCCTAGCCAGAACAGTGCTCCAGAGCTCACCCTGGTGTGCTAAGAGAGAGCAGGTCCTGATCAGGGTCTAATATTGATGGCGTCACAGAAGCCAGAGATCTCGAACCAGACCAATGACTCATTGCAATGAACATTTGCAAGTGAAGATGTGTGGACAGAGGAATATACTGTGGGACACACTGTGACACACTACAGCTTCTATGAAGAGATGTTTTCTCATGCTTTGTTTTTGTGGATGTTTATGGTTTTTTGTTTGTTTGTTTGGTTAGTTTTCTGAGACAGGGTTTCTCTGTGTAGCCATGGCTGTCCTGGACTCACTTTGTAGACCAGGCTGAAGTCAAACTCACAGAGATATGCCTGCTTCTGCCTGCTGAGTGCTGGGATTAAGGTATGTGCCACCACCGACTAGGCATTTGCTAGTTGTTTATTTTGGGGGAGGTTGCCTGAGCAAAGGGCAGATATGAGGGGACAGGGAGATGAGCGGGAATGGAGTACATGATATGAACCTCACAAAGAATCACTAAAAAGTTTTTTTTCAAGAAAAAACAAAACAAAACAACTAGTCTCCTGTCTGCAAGCATAGCAGAGCTTCACTAACAGTGTTGGAGGCTGGCTCTCTCCCATGGGGTGGGTCTCAGGTTGGGCCAGTCATTGGTTGGCCATTCCCTCAATCACCTCTGTTCCATCTTTGTCCCTGCACATCTTGTAGGCAGGGTAAATGTGTGTGGGTTGCTGTCCTACTCCCTCCACTGGAAGTCCTGCCTGCCTATAGGATGTGGCCACTTCAGTCTAGGAATCTCAGCTAGTCTTACCCCCTTATCCTCCCAGTAGCCCACCCTGTTGTGGGTCCCTATCCTATCCCAGAGATGCTCCCCCATTTATCTCCCTTCTCTCTCACCTCCCACCCCCACTATTCCTACCTGATCCCCACCTTCATTCTCCTGCTCATCCCCTCTTCCACCCGGTTCTCTCTCTTCAACCACTTCCAATGTCTATTTTATTTCCCCTTCTGAGTGAGATTCAATAACCCTCCCTTGGACCCTCTTTGTTTCTTTGTTTCTTTGGGTCTGTGGATAGTAGAATGGTCACCCTGTACTATATGGCTAATATCCACTTATAAATGAGTGTATACCAGGTATGTCTTTCTGGGCCTGGATTACCTCATTCAGGATGATCTTTTCTAGTTCAATCCATTTGCCTGAAAATTTCATGATTTCTTTGTTTTTAATAACTGAGTTGTATTCCATTGTGTAAATGTACCTCAATTTCTGTATCCATTCTTTGAGAGACATCAAGGTTGTTTCTGGCTTTTACAAATAATGCTGCTATGAACATAGCTGAGCAAATGTCCTTGTGGTATGGTAGAGTATCTTTTGGGTATATGCCTAGGAGTAGTATAGCTGGGTCTTGAGGTAGAGCTAGTCCCAATTTTCTGAGAAAGCGCCAGATTGATTTCCAAGTGATTGTACAAGTTTGCATTCCCACTAGCAATGGAGGAGGGTTTCCTTTACTCCACATCCTTACCAGCCACTTGGGTTTTTGATCTAACCATTTTGATATTTGTAAGATGGAATCTCAGAGTTGTTTTGATTTGCATCTCACTGATGGCTAAGGACATTGAACATTTCTTTAAGTGCTTCTCAACCATTAGAGATTCCTCTGTTGAGAATTCTCTGGTTAGCTCTGTATCTCATTTTTTAATTAGATGATTTAGTTTGTTAGAGGTTAATCTCTTGAGTTCTTTATATGTATTGGATATTAGCCCTCTGTTAGATGTTGGGTTGGTGAAGATCTTTTCCCAGTCTGTAGGCTGTGAACACAGCAATTTTTATAAGAAAAACATTGCATTGGGCCTGGCTTACAGTTTCAGAGGTTTAGCCCATGATCGTCACAGTAGGACATGGTGGCACGCAGGCAGACATGGTGTTGGAGAAGGACCTGAGAGTTCTACATCTTGAATCACAGGCAGTATAAGGAGACTGTGCCACACTGGGCATACCTTGAGCATATAAGACCTCACAGCCCACCTTCTCAGTGACATACTTCCTCCAATAAAGCCACACCTACTCCAACAATGCCACACCTCCTAGTAGTGCCATTCCCTATGGCCACGCATTCAAACGTGAATCTATGGGGGCTGTTCCTAGTCAAATTACCACAACATGCCAAGTGAGATCATGCTGGGTCTAAAAAGCAGTTGAGGTCAGGCTGTGTCCTTTGAGATGCTCCGCAT